CAGGATCACAAGCTCCTGCTAAGCACTGTGGGGTTTATCCAAAGTCGTCTCTTTGCATCCCTTACAACTGGAGAGCTGAACTCGTCACTCCTGTGCGAAGTGGCTCCGCTCACAGAAAACACCACGAGTTCTCCCCGCCACCGGGCTCGCTGCTGAAGCATGAACCTGGTTCGTCTTCCAGGAAGGCCCTCGTGGGCGCACACAACGGCACGAGCTCTGCACGCTGCTCACTGAAGGACTCCTCGCACGCACCAACCCATGGAAGCTGCACCGTGTCACACCGCACTGTGCATCCCTGAAGCATCCCCTCCTTCCTATGCTGTAACTGCCAATTCAGTTCTGCTTATTTCTGCCCAACTGATTTTTCCACTTCTGCACAGAAATAGCTTCCTGTTATTTTGACTGCAATGTATACCTGATTCCGTCTTACCTGCCTTTTTTTTTTTTTTTTTTGTAAGACATAGAAAAGTATTAGGCATATGATATGTTACTCCATTTAAAAATCTGGCAAAGTGGCAAGGTAAGTCTTACCATGAAGAACTAAACTTGTTAGAACAGTCTTTTGCATAGAATATAGTCTCCACATATTTAGTATCCTTACCATTATGAACCACAGAAGTTTACCTTCTGTTACTACAGCAAATATTAAAGTCAAGCTAACAAATTAAGATATAGGCTCTAATTAAAAAAAAAAGCACACACAAAAAATTCCTAAGGTAAATACAAATTTGTTCTCAGCATTTAAAATACATAATGCCTCAAACATATTATTGTAACAAGTCTTCCAAAAATCTGCTTAAATCCAGAGTTTGAAGTTGGCAAGAGCGGTTTTCTGTGCACCTGGAGGACAACAAGTTCTGAAATCCCCTGTCCACCAGGACAAGGGCCACAGCAGAAGAGCACTTCCCTACTTGCACAACCATCTGCAGCACCTCCCCAACAGCAGCACCATCCCTGGTGGTGCTCTGCAGCCTTATCTTTCCCTCCCACATGTAGAGGTAAGAGAAAAAAAAACGGTATTTGCATGCATAATTCTGGTGTAGGTCAGCAGCCAGCAAAAAAATTACTGGAAGTCCGAACAGATATGCCCGATGACCACACCTTAGCTTTTGAAATGAAAATGCTTTGGAAGGAAAGGGAAGGGACAAAAGCAGGGAAAGAAACCAGTCATTAAAACCTCAAACCTGCGCCACCTCACTCTCTTTGCAGGGCCAACTGTRTCTAGGTCTGTGAACATAAGAGTGAATCTAGCAGAGTGTCACTAGTTCTGCTTTGCTYATGTTCCCAGTACGGCTACTTGGTACACACCAGTAAAAGAGGAAAGTCTGAGGAAAGACATCAGCAGAACTGGATGGAAGAYTCGATATTTTACAGATTTGTATCTCCCTTTCAAGGCTGGAACTTTACATCACTTACTGCAAATGCCATAAAAGAGCTTCAAAGAAAGAATAAAAAGGAACAGAAGGGGGCAAGAAGGGAAATCTGAAATATACCTGAAAGAACAGAAATCCTTGATGACATAGAGAAAATGTGTTCAAACACATTTAAGAAGAGGTAAAGATGGACAACTCACCTCCCTAATGWCCTTGTGCATTAAATAAAAACATAGTAGATTAAATGGGGGAGGGAAGGATTTATTTATTTYAAATAGCTCCTGCAGGTTAACGCCACCAGTTTAGTGGAAAGCAATCTAGGCCGTGCAATTAAGCTGTGAGTTTTCTTCTTTAGTTTCCACTTTTTTATCTTTTTTTTCCCCCAGATGAAATGGATTTCCCCAGGCCTTTTCCAATCATGCCACATTTGCAATGTTCTGTAATCTCATTTTGTTGTCTCCCATACATACTCTGTGGACAGATCTCTCTACAAAACTGCCCTGGGTGTCTGTCAGTTGTCAGGATAAAAAGGGATGTTTGCTGAAATAATAAAATAATTTCCTATCACAATAACTGAAAGTGCTGTCTGGCRTCACTGACCCATTCAGTCCAGTGACAGTATTTGGTCCTAACAAGGAAGAGAAACAACTTTTCTTCCTTAACTATCTCTTCCTTAACTATTTCTTCTTTCTGATACTCTTCATATGAGTTTGTTCCATGACAATATATGGGTTTGTGTTCAGAGAATTTGTTTCACACGTCCTTCTACTCAAGGACTACTTACTAATCGTACTCAAAAATCACAGTTTGAGAAAATGGAATGATACCTACACACTATACAGAATTATAACTGAACCTCCTAAATTCAGGGAGAATAAATTCCTCACCAGACATATCCATTCACCCTTTATAAGTCTTTAAGGGAAGGGCAGGTGGAATATATTCAAGGCAGGGGAACGAGGGAAATGATACCAAAAAGCAAGTAAATGCTCGTAAGGAAAGCAACAAAGGATACCAGTTTCCAGGTTTTAAACTTTGGATGGCAGCAGTTGTTAACCGAACCACTGTGCAACGACAGGGGTAAAGTCCTTACATGACAGAGGCTCTGACAGCTGAGAGTGACAGCTGAAAAAGAGAGAACTGAATAAAGCTGCTTTCAAACAGTATTAACATCTCAAAGATGAGAATGCATATTCTGTTGAATTGGAAAAAAAGAAAAAAAATGCAAAAAATGCATACTAAGAAAAAAAGATGTAGCTATGTTACGGTAATGGCATCAAGAAAAAAAAAACATAAAATGAGAATTAGAAAGCTTTTCTTCTGTTRGGAGTTCCTTTGGGACAGACCTACAATTCCAACAACTTTGCTTTATATGCCGAGCACTAAACTACTATCCAGCGGCTCCATACRTAGAGATTCAAAGTTAACAAGTTTCCTCTTTCAGCTCTATCACCTATCTCCGTAACATGTGAAAGTTGTTGTGCAAGACATTTAGACAAAGAATCAGATGTACAGACACAGTTACTAGAAGCTGAGACTCAGTACACATATTTCTACTAACAGAAAGGAGTTGAGATACTGTGGGGATGGGGGRAGCATTCTCCTCAGGAGAAATAGGTTTACAAAGCTGTGCTGCATTTCACTGMACTCAGTACATTTATCAGTCAAGTCTCACTCTTCTGGGCTGCCAGCCTCCTGGGCTGTCATGCAGGAGTTCTGCTAATCTAGACAAGAAGASCCAAACAGATTATTAAGCAAAAACTGAAGTTTAACACAAAAGAAAAACTTAAAATAATCGTAGTCCTTTAAAAGAGGACAGCAAGCAAGGGTAAATGAGCTGCAGTATACAACAGCAAAGAGTTTATAAATAATCAAGCTTCTGTTACTCTTTCCAACAACTTAAAAATAAGACACTAGAAAAGCAACAGGCAAAAAAGGCAAATAAAGTCTGTTGAGAGATTTCTACGCATCTGCCAATGAGCTCCAGAAACAAACTCCAAGAAGCCTCAACCCACCAATTCTAGTGTTTCAAGGTACAAACCAGCCAAGTGAGGTCAAAGCTACTTCCCACTGAGCCCTTCTCATTCAGCCAACCAGAGACCAGATTCATTTTTCCCTGACAGATCAACAAGATGAGTCAGAAATAGGATATTGGGTCTTGAATGAAAATCAGGCTACTTCCTATTCCACTCTCCCTTCCTCCCACACATTTCTCTGGGTAACCATTTATACAGACATTCTCCTCTGTGTCTGATTTGCTTCATTTCAAACAGCAATTCTCTACACAAGAACCACTCTGTGTCCTAACTATCTACTGCAGTGTCTGGTGACTACCACCACACGCAAGGGGAACGGCTGTAACCTCCCGACACAAACRTTGCCTCCTGCTCCCCAAGCTCCTGCAGTCGGGAGCCATCCCTGCCTGCACTGGCAGCCCCTCTCCTAGGGCCAGCAGCAGAGGTAAAGCTCCCCTGTGGCACGTGTTCGTTGTGCACAAGCACTCTTTATGCACATGCTTTTAGGGGATTTCTGCTTTACGGAGGAGTTCTGGCTTTTTATTTACTGAGCAGCCAGCTTCAAGGTCAGGAAGCCCAGCCTTGCGGTGGGGCCTCTCCTTTGGCCACTACAACCCCGGCGAAACCAACGTTTGGTCAAAGCGGCTGTGCCCACCCAGCAGCCTCCATTCAACTCCACGGATCTGCGCACGTGGTGACAGCAGAAGTGCCAATGAGCAAGTTCTCTCCTGTTTTGTTCTGTGTCCACCATTTTTCCACTTAAGTTTTGGGAATACAAAAAATGCCAAAAGACAAAATTCTACTTCTCTGGTTCATCACTGCTTCCACACTGACTGAAGTATATTTGGTAGCGACGTTTCCTATCTTAAGTTTCTCTTCAGCGATTTTTCAACAGTACCGGGTTTTGATACTGCTGCTTGACTGCTGAAAGTACAAGCATTTCAAGACAATAAATACAAACAAGTTAAAAGCATTCAAATGGAAAGGAATAACAACTGCTCAAGTGATGAATCTGTTCCTTAAGGCCATAGAACAAACTAAATAAAAGAACAGTCTTGATGATAAAAAATGGACTGACATTGAGCTCCTGCCATGGACTTCCTGCGTGACCTTGGCTAAGTCACTTGAGAAAGCAGTTCTTGAAAATTCCTGGCCTGTTAAAGCTGCCCGGGTGAAGTACCAAAGATTTGAGATCATAGCTGTGAGCCAGGTGCTGCTGATGTGTCCGTAACAGGGAAGATCCTCGTGGGTGACCATGTCTGAAAACGTAGGTACGCAGGACCAGAACTTCAGGAATTTGGCTCCCCTCACCGGCCTGAAGCGCTTGGGACTTCACAGCGAGCTGCATTTGAAAGTATTTGAAAGTCAGCAGGAAAGTCTGTCAAATCAAGAACTCATCTGTTTCTCAAGCTCTCGTTTAACACTTTTATGTGAAACCTGTTGCAGACAGAATCTCTCCAACCTCCAGAGATGCAATATGCACTGCAAAATAGTGGCCTTTCAGTCACTGTACTAATCTGCTTGTAAAAGTCAATTAACTGCTGTCATGTTTTAAGATGTCTCAAAACAGCTAATGAGTTCAAAGCAGCGAGCTTGTAYTCCTGATAAATAAGAAAAATGACTGAATTTAAAAGCAACAATTCTTAAGAGCCAYGTGGGTAGATCCTGTAGTTCTAGCAGTTTCTCCTGCAATAGAGACCAGTTGCTTAAAATCAATTAAAGTTTCAATAAAGTTTCAGTTTASTTTTTTATCATAGCAATATAGTCCTGTGCATGTTAAAACATCTATCATGTCTTTAAAGCATAGATACTTTTACTTTAAATTACCCAAAATATACACACACACACACAGAGGAATAAACTAGTAACACCACAACTACACTCACAACTGGGAAAAGGACAGATAACTGAAATGCAGGCCTTGGAACTCATTTCTCCTTGCATTATCAAGGAAAAGAGCTCAGTTTTAGGGCGGCAAAGACCTGTTAAAAAGCCTGRGAGAGTCAATAGGAAGAGTTAAGAGCCTAATAGACTTTCTGGTGGAAGTTTCCTGTTCAAATTCATTTTGTGAATCTGTGCCACGCTCAGACTTCCAACTAGTACCATGCTAAGAAAATTCCTCCGATGACTTCCCTGATACAGAAGCCCATGTTTTAAGCAAAAGTTACATCTCGTCACTATTTTTCATCAGGAGCACATTTATTCAAGTCCTGAAGGCCCTTTCAGGTAGCTAATCATCTTCAAGCAGTCTGCTTCAGAACCATTAGTAATAAGCACTGATTACCGAGAGAAAAATGAGAAAACGGTGACATTTTTTAATGTACCCCCATCATGTTTCATTGGTTAAAAATAAAAAGTGTTACTACCTTACATGAAAGAGAAGATTTCCTTGGATTCAAACAGCTAATTCGGTTGCCCATGTAGACCAGTGCACTGTGCTTGGGATTTTAAGCTACATTCCTCAAATCCCAAATTGCGAATTTAAATTAATGCTGGCATAAAAACACAGTACCTAGTAAAGAAGAAAGGGAGGGGTGCACAAGAAGAAAGGCATGACGTGGAATATTATAATCCTAGTGCCACCAACACCTGACATCCTGCTRGCAGTTAACACCTTGGAGCTAACGGGCACCATACATTTGGTTTACTCAAAGGCACTTGCAGCTTCTCGCAGGCCTTAGCTCTACAGCGGAAGCATACCTTAAGTGATTACATAATAAAAATTTAAAGGAAGAAAATCCAGCTGTAAAGCTACTAAACAGCACTCTGCCTTGAGCAAGTTAACCTAAATTACCTTTCAGTAACAAGCTTCTTAAGGGGTCAGGGAGACACAACCCCAAACCTTGGCCTCACACGTRTCTGACAGGACGCAGCACTCACTCCTCTTTGCACCTTCGTCTTTCTACCATTTAAAATGCAGCTGAGGAGCTGAAGGTATATTTAAGATATTTTCAAAGCTGGATATATCAAGTCAATAGTGTCTTCTAGACTATCTAGTATAGGAAGCTTTAAACGTTTGGCCTGTTTAACTCACGAGCGATGCTTGCTGTATTGCTCAACACGAAGATGTGTTATTTTTAGTTTCACTGTGCTTAATACGAGCTAAGACAACCAAATAATATGTATGTAAAATGCTAAGAAAGTGAATAACCCTGAACCTGAAAGCTGAACCGTAATTACAAAAGAAATTTAAAAAAAGTTAGCGGATACAGATTGTATTAGATTCACAGGGGCTTTGCACGGCGTGACAGCGCACACGACCAGCGGGCCYGGCCCTCCCTTCTCCTCCCCGTCTCTCCATCAGCCGAGCAGGGAGAAGGGCACCAGGGAAGTGCCAGACTAACAGGGCTGTTTTTCTGCTTTGTCAGAACGTTGCTACTGCCTTTGCACTTTGTTAACTCTATCAGCGCCCTGRGCATGTTTTCATGCACTGGCCAAAATTCAGCAGGATGAACTAGAACAGTTTTGCTCAGACRTGGTCTGAAGCGCCAGATTTTCTCRCCAGGGCAGGTTTGAATGGCAGCACCAATCAGCTCTGCTGCTGCTCTCCTAGAGCGGCCAATAAACAAGACAGAAAAGGAACGAGCTCTGGAGTTAAGCTACRCACTCTTAGTTAATATATTAGGATGGCAGCCCTAAGTTCTGGCTCCCAAATATGCAGGGGTGGGGGGAAGGGGCTGCACTACAAGAACAGCTGCATTAAGTTGGTTATCAACACATAAACAACAGCATTAGAGATTATTTTATGCCACAGCCCAGTACTATTAAACAGGTTTASTGGATGCCGAGCACAGCGTCTCTTTAATGATCTCCCATTCTGCATAACGGGAGGGAAAAACGGCAATCTGAACAGAATACAATTAGGGTAGATTATGAGCAAGACAGCTCATAACGACTGAAGCATCTACTGTACATTGAGGCTTGGTTAACATAAAATACTCATCTGTAGGAGCAAGGCTGGATTCAGAGATTTGGAAGCCAAATAAGTCTCTTACCTGTTTATTTCAAAGGTTAAAGGGTTAACACTTCGCTAGCAATTTTCTTCAGTAAACATTTGCAAGTCAAACATAAACCCACTGCTGAGAAATCTCTATTATCTGGAATCTATTATCTAACTGATCCTGATGCTTCAATGCACAGTGACTTAAGTTGGTTTTAATTCCTGAAGAAAAGAGCCAAACCCCAGCTAAAACAAGACATACATCCCATGTAGCAGGACTAGTTGATAGAGACTCGAAGGCTTTTTATAATAAAAAGGGCGCAATGACAAAGTCCAAAAGTGATGAAGATGAAAGATACCTGCAACGAGTCGTCATATTCACCTTTTGTTTTCTGCGAGCGATACGCTACGCGCTGCAGACGAAACGCTTTGTGCCAAACACTCTCAAATCCGTTTTTCTAATATTAAGCACAAAGGAAAAGCACTGACAGCAAGCGTGGTAAATAAATCCCTCCCTCGAGGACGAAGGCAGCAGGCAGGAGGGGGCTGACACGCACGCAGGAGAAAACTAAACACCATCTTTTTCCTTTATTTTTTTTCTACCTGCACAAGTTGCCATTTGCTGCAGCGATCAAGAATCTCTTTTCCCCGTTGGTTTCAAAATCTACCTTTTCGGAGGATTCCTCTCCCTCACGTCATCTGTTGATACGGATTAAGAGGACGCTATTCGTACCAGTGGGTCTTTAAGAGAAAAATCCGTTTTCTTTCCTGTTCAGGTAAACATGTTTACAGCTCCTGCACAGGCGCTGGGTGGTTCAGACTCACATGTCACACACATGTCGTCAGCAGCAAGAAAAGCCCCTTTTCTCTGATCACCAACATTTTAAATTAGACAGAGAGAAAAGCACTTTCCAAACTTACCTTTAACAGAGCCAAATCACCAGCTAAACATGTGTTTACATGAGAGCGAGACATTAATAACAAGACAACTGCTACGAAACGCACAGGGCGCAAAGAAAGGAAGGCAGGACCCGAGCACGCCAAGGAGGAAGCCCTCCGAAGTTGCAGGCAGCCGACCCAACTCGCCGTGCCGGGGAGGGCCGTTATTTATAACCGCCTCACGCGCGAGCCGTTCGGATTAGCGGCGGGGACATTCATGGCCACGC